TGCTGGGGCAGCGTGTCCGTCACCAGCAGCCCGTCCACCCCCACGCGCAGCCGGTCCTGCCCGGCGCCTGGCACCTCGCTGCCGTTCAGCAGCCAGACGGCTCGTGCCAGGTTGGAGCGCTGGTCGCAGGGCAGCAGCACGTCGTCCCCCTGCAGCACCGTCCGGTTCTTCCACGGCAGGGAGCCTGCGGGGACACGCACTGCCTCACACCCATCCCGGCCACCCTAAGGGACGCCGGCATCCCCTGCGGTCCCAAGGGGCAGTGCAGACTCACCCCGCCCGGAGCTGCTCCGGCATCCCTCGTTGCCGTTCTGAATGTCCTGCACCAGCCCTGTGCTGCAAGACATGGGGGGTTTCAGCCATACGGCCCCGGTTGAGCCCACCCTTACAGGGTCATGGCCACCAGCAGACCCGTCCCAGATGCCAGACCCTTGGGGGGGTCTGTGCCACAGGGTGATGTGCAACAGCACAGGATGGGGCAGGTGGAAGGCGTTTGGGGACCGTGCCCCTACCTGTCCGTGGTGGCGGTGGCGCGGCAGGCCCTGCCGTCCCAGGCGCAGTAGGGGTCCCGGGCGAGGATGCAGTCATAGCAGGAGCGGTACCTGCCGCAGGAGGCCAGGGGCACCTGCAGGATCCCGCTGGCTGCCCCCACATACAGGCTCCTCTGGGGGGAAAGGGCTGGCTCAGCACTGCCCTGGCAGGGTGCGGCTGGGCCGTGGGGTGCCCCATAGTGCCCAGAGATCATTCCCCTGCCCCAGCCCCACAGCATAGCTCTCCCTTGGTAGGGTGCATGGGGAAGGGACCCCACCTCCAATGGCTGCAGCTGGCACCTGGCAAGGAGGTGGGGGCCAGGCTGGTCCCTCTCCCCAGGCTGCCCTGCTGGGCTCTGGCACATATCCTGAGCTGGGGTCACCCAGGAGACACCCCCCACCATCCCCAAACAGCCCAATGGCAGCTTTGCAGCACAAATGTGCCCCGTGTGTGGTGTCCCCCCACTTCTTCCACCCCTCACCTGGGCGTGGGAGATCACCAGGCTCTCCACGGGCTGCGGGTCCCTGAACACCTGCACCTCCTCCACGATGTGGATGCTGGAGCCCACCACCACGGCCTTGTGGATCCAGCCGTCACCTGGAGAGCAGAGGTGGGGGTCAGGAGGGAGTGTGGGGTGTCCCCCCTGCCCAGCAGAGACCCAGCAAACTCGGCCTGCGCTCACCCGTCCCCATGAAGAGCACATCGTAGGAGCGGCCGTCGAGGGCCCGCACCCTGTCCACGGCCAGCCGGCTGTACGCCACACTCTTCTTCACCAGCAGCGGCTCCCCGCCGGCCGGCTTCACCTCCTCAAACATGAGTGGGTGCAGCTTGACAAAGTCCAGGACGCTGTTGGGTAGGTCCTGCGAGGAGTTGTAGCCCTTCCTGCGGGAGTGGTCCGTGATGCACTGCCCGGGGGAGATGGGGGTCAGGGGGGTTAGCAGCCGCCCCATGCACCCCCTGCTCTGCACCCTCGGGCACTCACGGAGCCGGGCCGGGGCTCAGGCACCGCACCATCGTAGCGGGACCACTTGCGAGCCGAGTCCTGGTACTCCATGTAGGGGCCCTCGAAGGCGCGCTGCACTGCAGAGATGCTGTAGCGGCAGACGGCCGAGGCCTCCATGGTCCTCCTGGGGGGCAGAGCCCTACCTGAGCCCGGGCAGACACATGGGTGCTCCCCACTGATGCACCCCCGGGTGCCCAGCACCCGCCTGTGCGTGTCTTCGAGCATCTCTGGTGTGTCCCCCCCCCAGCCCGTGCCGCAGACTTTTAGCCCCTGCCGTTTTGGCCACTGCCTGTCTCACCACTGTGCCGAGAGGGTGAAGGCGGCGTAGAAGACGGTGCTGGCCCAGCTGCCCCCGTCCAGGCTGCAGACACTGCGCAGCACCTCGTAGTACGGGATGTAGCAGACCAGGCGCGCCTTCATGAAGGATGTCCACTTGCGCTGCAGGATCTTCTTCCCCCCCACGTCACTCTGGGAAGGTGCAGGGAGCATTTCTGCACAGGCTGGTGGGGGTCTGTGTCCCCCTCTGCCCGTGCCTCAGTTTCCCCCAAGGTGCAGGCACACAGCCCCTGTGCCGCGGGCAGCGCTTGGCCCCTGTGGCTGGGGACATGCCTACCTTGCAGACACGGGCCACTCGGGCCACTCGGGCCACCTGGCTCTTGTCAAAGAAGGACGTGGTCTCCTCACCCGCCCGCTCCATGAAGAAGTAGTAAATTTTGTCATCATCGCCCATGGGGCTGTCCTTGCTCTCCCGGACCAGCACGGAGGCCACGAACTCAGCATCTGGGGGATGCAAAGCGAGAAGTGGAGACTGGGGACCCACCTCAGGACGGGGGATCCCTCCCTGCCTCGGTTTCCTCTCATGGCAAACCACACAGGGCACCAGGGCCACCCCCCACCCCTGCTCCGTGCTCCCTGAGGCGATGCACAGCATCACATGGCCCATGACACCCATCCTGGGGAGGGGGACAGGGACATCTCACCATTCAGCCAGTGCAGCGGGGACTCCTCCGTCTTCAGTGGCCGCTGGTGCAGGTTCCTCCGGATGTCGGGGAGGCTCCGAAATTCGTAGCGTGTGGCCGTGTACAAGCCGCCATCTGGGCAGGACAGGCAGAGCAGGCACCCGTCAGCATGGCCTCACACCCTGGGGACAGCGGGGACAGCCCCAAAAGCCAGCAGCATCCCCGTGCCCCAGGCAGAGGAGGAGGAGGAGGAGGACCCTGGCTTGCTAAGGCCCCCATGCGCAGAGTCCACCCAGCTGGGGACCCCCCATGGGGGCATTGGGCATGGGCCCAGTGTGGGTGACATCTCACATGTCCCCGTCAGCCCTAGGAAAGGTGCCACTTACCCACGATGAGGCCAGTGTAGCCACGGGCAGGGTCGTACGGGCACTTCTCCTTGCCCTCCTCAAAGTGGGACGGCAAGTTGAACCTGTCAGCATCCTTGAGGGGGACAGGGGACCGGGTTAGACAGGAGGGGACAGACCTGCCTTGCCTGCCAGCCCCAGGCTCTCTGCAGAGGCTGCTACTGGGGACAAAGCGATGCCCACAGCCATGCCCTTGTCCAGGCAAGACAACATCCCCCAGCACCCTCCAGCTGGTCAGAAACCACGCGGACAGCCAGAGCCCCCAGCCAAGAGCAGGGAGAGGGCTTGGGGGGAAGGAGAGCCCCAGCACCCCACTTTGGCATCACACAGGCACCAGGCAGGAGCCAGCCAGTGCAGCTGATGTTCCCGGGCTGTGCCTGGCCAGCAGATGCTGCCCAACCAGGTTGGGTCCCCCCAGGTGACATCCACGTCATGGCAGGAGTTATTTTCTTTGGGGTTTGCAGTTCAAAGCACGTCAAATAATGACGGGGCCCTTCCAGCTCGGCGGCTCATCCACCTGACTCCCAGGGCGTGCAATGGCCAAACCGGACCGGCGGCACAGCCGTGGGAACAGGCACGGCCCCTCCGGGGCTCCCCGGCCATGCTGAGGACACGGCCCCAGGCCCCTTTGCCCCCCACCTCAGGGAGGGAGGTGGGCAAAGGGCAGATGAGTCACCGAGGAGCCACTGCACAGGGGTGAAAGTCCCGCTGCCGGGGGACGTGGCTGATCCCGACTGCTCTGCCGTGAGTCACGGCCATGCGGGGACCCCTGGCCTGGCCCAGGAAATCCCTGGGGAGGGGCCGCTGAGTCAGCCCTGCCGCTGTCACCCTCCCTGCCACCGCCACCCTCCCTGGGCATGCTAGCCACCAGCCAGTCCGCAGCCCCTGCTTTGGGAAGGGACCCTGCAACAGCAGGGGCTGGGGACCAGCTCCAGTGCTGGCATGTCCCACCCCGCTGAGCCCACGTGTTGCCCCCACGGCACGGATCCATGCCCAGCCGTCTCGCTATGGGGTCAGAGTCCAACCCAGCACCGGGGTGGGTGGGGACTCTGGGCGTCTGCGTCATGGTATCTGCGTCCCCACACTGACCCACCTCAGCCTGGGGTCACTCACCTCCCCCTGAGGCAGGGAGGGGCTGGGACAGGGGCAGAAAGGGAGTGGGGCTGCAGGTGGAGGTGGTGGGAGAGGACGAGGGCTGCGCCACCCTGGGGTGACATGGTGTCAGGGGACAGGTGACAGCCGTGGGGCCGAGCGGCACTCACGATGGCGGCGCAGAGCGGGTGGAAGGCGTAGGTCCCACAGGCATAGAGGTGGGTGCTGTTCAGCCTCTGCAGAAACCGCACGTGGTTGAAGCACTCGGTCTGCAGAGGGGAGGACAGACGTTACCAGACGGGGAAAGCAGCGACGGCCCCCCCAGCACCCACCCACCGGCTCTACCTTGTTGTTTTTGCCCTTCTGCAAGCAGTCCATCTGCTTCTCTGGGGAGGCTTCCCAGTGGATCTGCAGGGGAAAGAGGGACTGCCACTGCGTGACCCCCCATCACTGCGTGGTCGCCCGTCATTGCAGGCTCCAGCCTCTGCCAGAGCCATCAGAGATGCTAAAATCCTCTTATTTAGAGAGGGGACAGCTGATCAGAGCAGGAGATGGCACTCTGCCCGCGTCCCCCCAGCCCGGGGCGAGAGCAGTCCCACACCCCGACCTGAAGGCAGAAACCCCAGAGCACCCTCAGAAGCCTGGAGGATTTTGGGGTGCCCTTCCTGAGGGGAGCAAAGGGGTGCGCTTCCCCTGCCCCTCATCCTGCCAGGGTGTCCCTGAAGCAGGCAGCTCTAAGCTTGGGGACATCTCCCACCGCTGTCCCCATGCTGCCTGGGGAGAGGGACCCGGCACCCACAGGGGACCTGGGGACAGACCTGGGGACAGCACCACCAGGCAAGACCTGAGATAGCGAGCATGAGGATGAGCAGGGATAGGGTGGCCACGATTTGGGCAGGGACGGGGCAGCATGGGACAGGAGAGGACAACCAGCCAGCGGCAGGCAGAGGCCTGGCTCACCGTGCGGTGGGAGCCGTCGGCCACGTCGCTGGAGTTGAGGGCGAAGATGGCTCCCCTGGCGCCCACGTAGAGGATACCCCGGTTGTCCTCCAGCAGCAGGGTGCTGTAGTTGAGGGCACGTGTGCTGAAGCGCCGGACGCCCGACAGCTCTGCAAAGGGAACAGGGGGCTGAGGGAGGACCCCAGGGCAGGCACGGTGTGGGCCACCGGGGAAAAGACAGAGGATGGTGCCGGGAGTGGGTAGGAAGGCACCCACCGAGGTTATCAGGCAGATGGTGCCGGGTGCCAGGGGTTGCAGCAGGAGGAAAGGAAGAGGGGAGGTTTGGTAAGAGGCAAAAGGCACTAGCTGGGCTCAGGCTCACAGGGGGAATTTCTCCCTGCTAATTAAAACGGCAGCCCAGGGGTGGGAGCTGCAACATCCATGCCCAGCACGGACCTGCCACACTGGAGAACCACTGGAGGAAGTGAAAATACACTGGCAGTGACCCCGGCTCCGAACCGAACCCAGCCAGCCCAAAAGGAAGGATGCAAAAACCCTGAACCAAAACTGCCATGCAAGGGGAGGGCTCCTGCAGCGAGGCTGGGTGCTCCCTGCCCACCAAGACAGAGAAACCACCCAACCTGGGGTGCTGAGAAGCGTGAGGTGGGACTCAGGCCCAGACAGAGGGACCCCAAGCCGGGCTTAGACCCTCCCACCACAGGAGGAGAAAGTCTTGTGGGGCTTGGGACCCTGGAGGAAGCTGGGGAAGGAATAGCCCCCCTGAAAAGAGGCATTGCCTGGGGAGAAAAGGCCACCCCAGCTGCAAATAAAACCCTCTCCTACCCTCGACCGCTGAGCTAGGCTTCGCTAACGAGGTCAACGAAGTCGCATGGATGCCCAAGGCACAGTGACACTGCGGAGCGGGCTGACGCCAGAGGCTGGAGGCCAAGGGCCCAGTGGCAATTAGAGAAAATCATGGACAAAAGCTCCCCGATGACCATTTGGGCCATGAGAGCCCAGCCCGGGTGTGATACCCAGCTCAGCTCACCCTCCAAGGGCTGCCAGGCAGGGCCAGGGGCTGGCTCCCTGCACGTCCTTGTCCCCCCCTGGCTTTTGGGGAGATGCCTTTGCCCTGCTCCATCCCTCAGGGCACATTAACTCCAGGCACCCAACACCAGACAGCCATGCAGGCTCCGATTTCTGGAGCCCAGGGGACCGGAGGCCCCCCTGTAGCCACACCGCCATGCTGAGCCCCCTGCTGCGGGGGGCTGGCGAAGGCTGGACACAGTCACGATGCACCAACCCCGGTGCTGGCAAGATCCCAAACCTCACTGCCACCACCATGACCTGCACCCCCTTACCGTCGAAGGTACCGTCATCC